TTTTTTTGGTGTATAGATGATGTGATTGATGATAAAGTATTATATCTCTATTTTTTTACATTTATGTTGTGTGGTATTTTATCGGGATCTATTGACGTTAATTGTGGAGTGTTGTGATAAAATATAGTTGTTGTTTTATAAAGTGCAACGTGTTATTTTATAAAGTGCAACAAATTCTTTTATAAAGTGCAATGTGGTGTTGTGCAAAATGCACTACATTATATGATCTCATATAAAGTATGGCTATTCAAAGATTATTTTTTGTAGATATAATTAACCACAATATTTGCAATATTATTATTTATTTATTTATTCAATACTTTATTTATCATTTTATTTAGTATCTTATATTAATTTTATTTAATATTTTCTCATTATGCAATATATGTATAAAAAAATATGAAAAATATTATGTTTTATTAACTTTCAATAATTAGAAATTTGGCATGTGGGCTAAATTGAAATATAATTAAAAGATATAAAATTGTATTTAGATCCTTGGACCTTTTCTAATTTTCAAACCAAATGCCCAAATCAATTTCAGTTTTGCGTATATGTATCTGTGTCTCCAACACAATTCAATCTCAATCAATCCAACTACAACTGCAATTGCAACGATTTTGGGATCCGATAGAAGGCTGAGCATCGCCGATTTCATCCTGGTGAGGTGAGACGGGGTCGCCAATACGTGGTCGGCGAAGGGGGAATGGGAGAGAGAGATCTCGGTGGCGTGACAGGGTCGTGAATATTTGGAGGCAACTCAATCTCTCCGGCGTCGGCATCGTTGCAGCGGACTTGGACGAAGGCGACATCGACGTCGGTGAAAATCCGATCGGTGAAAAGAAGAAGTGGGAGATGGCGTCGGCGTCGGACAAGGTGCGGCGACGGACGGGAAGATCTGGAGGCGCCAGAGAATGTGTGTGTACAGTATGTGTCAGCAGATGATGGCCCGCGACGGATTTCATTGCGGTGGTCGGCTTCGACTATCCGAAGGTCCGTGCTATCACAAACCCGACGTTCAGCAGCTTTTCTGGAGGTCGATGAAGGTCACCGGCGGGAGATTGGAGGCGGCGAACGGCGCTGGAAACGGCCGGCGGCCGTATGTGTGGGGGGATTAATGTGCGTGTGTCGTTCGATTTAGTGCGTGTGTGTGTGTGTGAG